AGTTAGGAATCTTGAATGTAAATGTGATATAATTTTTTTTTCTTAACCCTATCATGTTTCTTCTTGTTATTCTTTTGTCAAATCAATTTGAGTGAGGCTCTCTCGCGATCTAAACATGCCTCGTGACAATAACACCAAAACAAATAAATAAATCTACTATGAAAAAGAAAATGAAAAAGCACAAAACAATGTTAACAATATTATTTCAATACTCTAGATGAATTGCACCAGATTGGTTGCACCTCCCTTCAAAGGTCAATCATCATCCTTACCCTCATAATCAATCAATTTAGGTAATTAAAGAGAAAGAACAATGAATTATACTTAAAGAATAGCAAAAAGAACAAATAGTGTTTTTCCCTTTTCCTATTTCTTTTTTGTTTTTTTAACCTTATCTCTAACGAACTTTGTATAGGTATCGGAGTGAAACGTGACGCAACGCGGAAGTAGTAGTCTTAGAATCCACCAAGGACAATCTTCGAATCCACGAAGAGCTTCAAATTCACGAAGTAAATATTAAAGAAAAACGAAATTTTATTAATCAAAAGTTATGCCTATAGGGCTTACAAGACCCTACTTAAATAGAAAAGAAACAAGACTTTTACAAGAACTCAAACTCTTATAAGGACTCTAACTTACCAAAAACAGTAAAAGAATTCCTAAAACATTAAAACTCCTAAAAAGACTCCTTACGACTAGGAAAGTCCACCGGTCAAATCTGAGATCAAATCGGCTTTGTTTCCTAATCAAAACAGACTCCTAAAGCATTACTAAAAATAGTAAAAAACAGACAAAAATGCAGATATCTCTCAATCCGTAAGGAATTTGGCGAAACGAAGGAAGCAAACAGAACCCTTAGGAGTAGGTTTGGATGGCTCCGTCTCGTTGAGATAGTCGATTTTCATATATAATTCGTCTAATCCCGACGTACGATTTGAAAGTTACGGCCGTTTCTTCAAAACAAGTTATTTTCTTCGACCGGGCCCGCATTTGGGCTTACGACTGTCCCACTTTGACATAAACGTGTCTGCCATGTGTTCTACATCAAAACGAGATTAGAACTTTGGGGGTATCAAAGTGAAACTGAGTAAAATTTGAGGGTACCGAAATGAAAACAACACATATTTTAAACTAAACAACCCCTTTCAAGGACAAAAACAAGTTTAAATCATTAAATGGATAGACAAACACTCATTAAAAACTTGACATTTTGATCCTTAAATCTCTTCATAACATGCAAACCATATCAAATAACATGAAATACACACCAGATACCCCTAAATGTTTGGAATAAGCTTTCTTAGGTGGGCGCCACAAAGGGGGAAAGAGAGTGAGAGAGAGAGAGAGAGAAAAAGAAGAGGAGCCATACAAGTTTCGGATCGGGTACCGATCCTACAAAGAAAACCCAGTCCGTACCCGTCCGAATCTCGAACATTTGTCAAAATATTGTCAGAAATTTTGGAGCGAACTAAAAAAATCACTGAAAATAAAAACAGAAAAAACTGCAGATCTAATGGATCGCCGATGAATCGAAGGAGCTGAAGAGGAAATCAATGGATCGAGCATTGAAGTCCGCAAGAGAATCGGGATCTCTCAATCTCTCCAATCGCTCTCTTAGGTCTCCTCTCTTTCTCTCTTCATTCACGTTGGACCTCATCAAAAGAAGTTCTTTTTTTTTGGGTGAAATTTCGTCAAATTTTTTTTCGAGATTTGATTAGGTAATGAAGAGAATCGAGCTAAGCGAAGCTCAAAAGCGTGGGAGTTTAAGTAATTTAAGACATTTTAAAGTCGATGTAGTCTTTAATAGGGAGTGGTGGCCAAAAGAAGTATAAAATTGGATTAATGGGTTTTGAAAACAAAGAAGCTCAAAAGCGTAGCGTAATTCTAGGTTTAATAGTAGGAACTATTATATGGTTTGTAGTCTACCTAGTGTTGTTCTAGGTTGAATGGTAGAAAAATGAATACTATTTTCAAAGAAATAAAGAATAAAACAGGTGCGAATTGTCACATTCCTGTACGAATAGCGGAAGCTGTTAACAGATTGAGGTCAGAAAAGTGAAACTAACAGTAATCTCGTTCCTTTTCGTGGCATTCTAATTTTGATAGAAATTTTTTTTTGATCACATCAGTATTGTGTTTTATGAGTTTTATTATTAGTTGGAATCGGGTCCGAATTTATTAGATTTCTTTCTAATTTTATGTCACCTGAGTTACTAGCTAGTCGTTTGTTGCCAGATCAGTTGACCTCTAATGAGAACACAAAAAATACTTTCTTAGCCGATCACATTTTTAAACATTTTAGTACTATTTTATAGGTAGATGAATAACACAACAGTAAAATTGGTTTAATCATCATTTCTGTTTCGGTCTTAAAACATGACAGCCAAGTACCAGAGGATGTTTATAAAAGCTTGGATGCTGTTAAAGATGATGAGAAATGGTGGGAGGTATTGTCTTTTTGCCTTTTTGGGAAAGATATAATGCAAAAGTACACCTCAAGGGCATGGATTTTGGTATAAGAAGCGCTCAATTTTGCAGGCTGTGGAGTTACAGAAACTTGTTCTGGCTCATAACAACCTAGAAGTGCTGAGCAATGATCTGAAGAATTTATCGTTGCTGTCTGTTCTTAATGTTAGTCACAATAAATTATCTTGCCTTCCGGCTGCAATAGGAGAGTAAGTCAATTTGCAAACTTTGCACACTTACTGTTGCTTAAAGAAAATACAAAATTTACCGCTAATGTTTTGCTGGTATCTGACTATGTTGTATATTGCTCATCAGGCTTGCTTCGTTAAAAGCACTAGATGTTTCATTTAACTTGATAAGCAATCTACCGGAAGAGCTTGGCTCAGCAACAGCATTAGTCAAGTAGGTCTTTTCTTCATTTTATGACACGAGGGCTAAGTTTTTATGCTACTTCCATGCAACTTACTCTGTAGTGTGACCAATAGCATCAGGTTTTTCTTTGAACTTTATTGTTGTCACATCATATTATTTGTTTGGCTCTTTTAACTTCTAATAACCAAGCAAAGTAGCATTTGGTTACTTTGTGGAATGTGAGTTAAGAGAGACTATAGAGGAAACAAATCATATGAACTGAATTTCTTCTTGGAAATACCAGATTGTACTCTCTCAATGATCTCTCAGTTTGCTATCCAAAAGGGACGTGCTCCATCTATATTCACTAGTTTTAACTTCTTACGGCACAAATATTTTTTTTCTTCTACATGATTTAAAATTTTTTAGCCACATGAAGACATGAATCCATCTGAGCATTGGACTGTGAAATGAGAACTTATAATTTTTCTTTCAAGGTGTAGAGGCATGTCAGACATGCTCATCACTAAAAGCATATGCCAAATTAGAGGGGAGTGTTCTACAATATGTAAATAAATCTTGTTGGATCAAGCTTTTTTCATGAACAGAGGAGTACGGAGTTAATACAAGATTTTACTGATTATCCCACTGCAGATTTGTAAGATGTGTATTAAAATTGTATAATCAGGTGTGTTAAGTATAGTTCTGATTGATTAAATGCAGATTTGTAAGATGTGTATTAAAATTGTATAATCAGGTGTGTTAAGTATAGTTCTGATTGATTAAATCCGAACATTGATATCTTATAATTAACTCCACTAATGCTCCTCTTTCTTCCTATATTTAATGGGCGCAAATTGGAGACTTTATTTTGTTCCGTTACTTATTTTAGCTAGTATCTTTCGGAAACATCGAACCTATGCCTCAAAACACTTGTAGATTTTTTAGTGCATATTTATTTTAGGGAAATCGATGAAATTTTGTGTACTGTCTTAATATCCTAAGTGGTAATTGATTTACTCAATTTTAGCAAACCGGTTTAATATGTAGTTGGCATGCTTTAGAATTTTTCTTTAATTGGAGTATATGTTCCCAGGCTTGATTGCTCAAACAATCTGCTTAAAGAACTTCCCTGCAGCCTAGGAAATTGCACAAATTTATCAGAACTCAAGGTAAAATTCTCTCAGACTAGTACACAGTTTTTACTTTTATGTTCACTTCGTGTAATCAGTTGTCTGACTCTGGATTTTAGGGGAACTTCATTTGCTTGTTATGGTAATATTTTCTATACTGTGTCTCCTATATTCAAATGGACTTCCTAGTCTAGCTATTTTTGGAACTAAAAAAACATTCCTTTAGATGCTTTCTTTCTAAACCTTTTCACGATCTGATGATATCTCACTTTATGCTCAGGCAACTAACAACTGCATACAAAAATTGCCAGATCAACTTGTCAACTGTTCAAAATTGATTAAATTTGACTTGGAGGTAACATCAAGAGTCGCTTTTAATTTGAGATGAGCTCTTCTTGCTATGGTTCTTATGATATTAATTGACAATATTTAAGACATAAAACTGATATTCTGTCTAATTCAGAGAAATAAACTCACTGCGCTCTCAGAATATATGCTCAGGTCATGGACAATGGTTATGGAATTTAATGCTGGTATTCGTAATTGTTTTTGAAAGAATTGGAATTCGATCTCTCTTTTTAATTTGGATGCCTACTAAAGTATATTGCTTTTGTTTAAATGTCTTCTTCCAGCTAAAAATCTGCTCACTGCTATTCCAGATAGTATTGGAGCCCTTTCGAAGTTGATCCGTTTAGATCTTCATCAGAACAGTGAGTAAAGTCAGCCAATTAATTGTAAATTATAAATGTTGACACCTAAACTTTATGTATGAAAGGATGCTCTATTTTCTAATTTGACTGCAGATTCATGCTACTTTCTTCTAAATTTTGACTATCTCTTGTCTGTCCAGAAATTTCTTTGATTCCACCTTCAATCATGGAATGCTCCTCTCTTACTGAGTTTTACATGGGGTTAGCTCATATCCTAGATTATTGTACAATTTCCTACATTAATTCAATGGATTCTTCTCAGGAGCTTCATTTTCGTACTTATTTCACTTTATATTTCAGAACCAATTTACTTACATCACTGCCAGCAGAGATTGGTGTTCTTCCTAAGTTGGGAATTCTAGATCTTCATTCAAATCAGGTAAGTACATTTGTTGTTACTGTTCTTCCTTTTATGATCTGAAAGGTTTGTTGTGTTCCTAGTTATATCACGCAAAGCTGTTCTATTATAATTACTTTCTTTTGTAACTTCTAACAAAGGTAATAAACTCCATTATCAAAGTACTGAATGCTTCGTTTTTCTGCATGATGTGCTTCCAGGGCAGGGCATCACAAACCATTAGAGCATCATGATCTAGCCTTTTTCTTATATGTTGCTACTATAATAGAGCTTTTGTTTCAAAATTATAGGCTACATCCTCCAATTAAGCAATTACCCTAATCCACTCTCTGCCTCAGTCCATACTTTGGTCTACCTTCCTGCAACTCCTTCAAGTACAGTCTCGCCATTCTTAATTCATTGGACATGTTCAAACAGTATTAATTGATCATCCATCATCTTATTCTAGATTGAACTTGCCTCAACTTCTTATCGATAACTATTTCTTTTTCTTTGATGATAACCTTGGGTTTGAGGCCCCTGCCCCCGGCCCCTGCCTTTCATTAATAAGGGTTTTAATAAACATCTCCTGATACAAAAATAGAATATGTCTAAGTCTCACAAAAGCAGATACCAATTTCCACAAAAAAAAGTTCATTAAACATCTCAACTACGAAACAGAATGTCTCTAATTCTTACAAAAGTTCCAGGAAAAAAAAATTCATGTAAAGAGGCTATGGGTAGAATTCTCAGCCTAAACAAAATATCCATAGCCAAAAAGAAAAGGATAGTCAATCAGCCTCCTCATAAACGGCAAAACTAAAGTTCAGGCCAACAAGTTATTAAAAAAAATAAAATCACTTGTCCTTCATATCAACTAAAGCACGGACAACCATATCACCATTTGCTAGAATATTCCCTTCAACTTCACAGGCTCTCAACATCACCAGTGTACTTCATAACAGCTTCTCCACTTTACCATACTGCTAGTATACAATGAAAACATCCCTCAGTTTCACTATCATCTTCTCAATTTGCAACTCTTCCATGTCATTTAGCTTGTAAATGTGTATTTTGTTTATAAAGTGAAACTATTTTTACCCTTTTTTTATTTGTTTCTTGCTGATGCATATCTGTGTCTTTAACTTGGTGGCTGTCCAATAACATATAATTCTATCAGTTGAAGGAGTTTCCCGTGGAAGCTTGCGAACTGCGCCTCTCCGTCCTGGATTTGTCAAATAATTCATTATCAGGGTTGCCACCTGAGATTGGTAAGCTTAGCTTAGAGTTTGTTTGTCTGCTCTAAGTCCAAATAACATGTTTTTTGATATATGAAGTTGGGATCATGTACTTGTTATCCTCCACTCACCAACTTGTTATTCTGTTTAATGTTACTTTCATGGTAATATCTGTGCAGTGAGATCAATACTTTACTAACAAAGGCATCCAAATAGCTAATAGCAGTAATTTGTGAAAATTAACAGCATGCCTCGCTATGTGTTAACTTTCTGTCTCCACCGCAATATACTGAATATAGTTAGGGTGTATTTCTATCTTAGAAATGCCGTTTTATGTCCATTTGTAGAATGGTTACTGCTTTGTTAGCTGCATTTTCTTCTTTTATATACTTCTCATGGCTTTTGTTGTTTCTAATTACTGCATAAATTATTTTCTCCACATTATTTCATTGTTGAAAATTTTAGGTCGAAATAGTTTTGCTGCTATTAAATTGCTTTCTATCATTTGTAGTGCATGGTATTCCTTTCCTGCCCATTAAATTAGTGAAAACTTTTTATAATCTTTCTCCGTTTCTTGTTACTGGTTAGGTCATTTTCTTAGTTTTTTGTATCTTGTTGTCTAGCTGCGACACCTTTTTATATCTCGCTTATTTACTTGATCCGAAACCTGTCGGAAATAATTATATGTTGTTTTTTCTCGTTTCTCTCGGACTTCTCTGTCTTTAACTTCTGTATTACGACTTAGGTAAAATGACTACTCTACGGAAACTTCTACTCACCGGCAATCCCATGCGAACTCTTCGAAGGTGTAGCATTCAAGTTTCTTTCTTTTGGCTAGAGAGCTCTAGTGTTAGACCTTCTGATTGTTCTTATCTGTTCTATTCCTATTGGCTCATTGGTCACTGGACCTACTCCAGAACTGTTGTTAGACCTTCTGATTGTTCTTATCTATTTTATTCCTACCAGCTCATTGGTCACTGGACCTACTCCAGCACTGTTGAAGTATCTACGCAGTCGACTCTCTCCCAGTGAGGAAGGTAAATTGCTGCATATCAGCATCTAGTTTTTCATATATTTGCCTTGGCTATAAATGCTTGAAGATATAAACCTTGTTTGCACCGGTTTCATATAAATCTACAGATTAAGGCTCTCATAGTTCACTTATAAACAAATTTCTACCGTCCAACCATCTGATTATGATTTATCGTGCAGAATCAAACGCTAGTCCAAGCAAAGATGATCAGATTGCTATGGCAGCTCGGTTATGTTTGTCTTCAAAGGTACGCGTCAAGCTTTTATTTACCAAAGCAGCAGAGTTTATCGTACATTCAAAAGATAAAAAATCTCCAAGCAGCAGCTCTAGTTTTATGCAGATATTTATTCAGCTAGCTTTAAACAGAAAATTTAGACTTGATTTTGGTGCTCTTGCATTTTCCTAGTTAAAAGGTTCTCTTTAAAGATTGTCTTATTTATTAATCTAAATGATAAATACAGTCTTATTTCTTGGAGGAAATTCATATTTATGAATCACTTATCCAGCCGCCACCTCCTTGCTCCTCACCTTTTGACCTTCTTAACCTTCAAAATTTTCCTAATCCTGCAATACCTCTTCTTTTTGGTTTCCTGTGCTAAAATACCATGCTCTCAATTCTTCTAGCGTAGCTAGCTAGGGCTTGGTAGTTGTCAACCCTTTCCGACCTGCATACAGCATGAAATCTGCTTAGCCACAAATACTGATGTTAGACATTTAACAGAGTAAAGAACTTGGTTCTATATGTCTGGATCTAGTGGGAAGCACTGTTGTAAATAGCGGCCAATAGCGGCAGC